CATCACTATTTGTTTCAATGTGGATTTTGATCAAAAGAAGCCACCTCCACACATTTAAAAGCAAGCAAAGCTAACATGCAGTGACAGAAGTAAGAAGTTACATTTGAGAAGAAGGAGTGTACTGACTGGCAAGGGACAGGGCAAGACTTTTGGGTTAGGGTAATAATTCCATTTTGAGGCTTTGGTAGTGATTACACAGGCGTGTGTACTTTGCAACACCACATTCATGGAATGCTACCTTTGGATTTTGCATATCTTTCTGTATGTGTATTTTAATAAACATGTCTAATAAAATAAAAAGAATGGGCCAGGCATGATGGCGAAAGTCTATAATTTTAGCTACATGGGAGGTGGAGATTGGGAAGATTGTGGTTTGGCCAACCCAGGCAAAAAGTCTCAGAGAACTCCGCCTCAACCAATGGCTGGATGTGGTGAGGCCCTGAGTTCAACCCTCAGTACCTCCAAAAAAAAAAAAAAAAAAAAAAAGCTAAGAGAGGGGATTCTGATAAGTGAAAAGTCATTTTACCATAGAATTATGATTGAAAAATTTAAAGTCTTGTTTTCATTTGGTTGTTATAATAAAAATATAGGTGTCAGGAAAAAGCAATTTAGCATTTGTTGAAATGCATGTTTAAACTGTAGACATATTCTGTGTCAGGATCACGGGAAAAAAAATTAAACCTGGTTTATTATCTTCCATCACAGCCGAAGAAGAACCTTACGAAAAGAGCTGTGAATTTCCAATTTTGGAAAATATAACCTCCAAGTATATTCTCCAAAACAAAACAATAAAACAAAACAAAACCCCAGCAAAACCTGCTGTGATATGTCCCAACCTAATGGAATGATGCAACAACCAAAAGGCAGTCAAATGCTGGAGAAAACTGCCGGTAGTAACTTCATTTTTAACAGTAATTAACCATCAGTGTCAACAACTTGCTAAAGATATACTGAATTCTCATAAGGAAACTATGTTATCTGTATATAAAAACTTATCTTTTCTTCTGTAGTGGGATGTACATCTGGTTAATAGAATAACAGAATTTTTGAGAGTTGAAGTTTTCTCTTCATGGGAAGATTTTGGGTTGGGGTGACAGTGGGATTTGCTATTAGCTTTTGGAAATACTTCCTTTTTATTGTATTTATATATTTTGGGATAATTGTTTTAAATCTTATAAATTATGATGTATGCCCCTTTCTCCCTTTTAAAACTAGTATCACAACTTAAGATGGCTTGAATTTGGTGCATAGGGCTGGGCGGGAGGAAAGGACTTTTTACCTCATGCAAGAGGAATCCTGTCTTTACCTGAGCACGGCCACAAAAGATAAGTTATCTTGTTATGCTTGGACTTGTACCAAGGACCCAGGCAGGATCTATAAGCCTGACACAAAGTATCATGTGTAGTTCTGTAACTTTGAAGAGGGATATTGTACTTCTCTTCCAGTATCACGTTAATTTTCACCTAATTTAAAATTCCCATTTGATAACCTAAAAACCTTGCAAGTGTAAGATAGCTGCTCCTTTATCCTGTTCCCTGTCGTGACCTTCACGCTGGAAGGAAACCACACTGGACAGGCAGCAGCAAGGGCAGCCTCTTGACTGGGCTTTGCATCCTATTAGTCTCAGCGGTGACTTCACTTTTTGGGCCTTAGTTTCTTCAACTCTTAGGTAGGGAACAACATCCTCTGCTTCAGTGTGATTTTCAAAAGTGACAAGTTGCTCTATTATTATTAATAATTGTTATTTATAGGTTGCATTTCTAAGTATAAAAGATAAAGCAGGTTGTAAAGTGGTGCTTAGGTGTGGAAAGAATACAGGGAAATGAGGTAAGAAAGACTAACAAATAGAAAAATAAACACACTGGTAAACTGTAAAAGGATTTAAAAAAAAAACACAAGGAGCGGGGCACTGGTGGCTCAAGCCTGTAATCCTAGCTACTCAGGAGGCAGAGATCAGGAGGATCACAGTTGGAAGCCAGCCTGAAAAGACCCTTCACAAAACAAAAGGGGCTGGTGGAGTGGCTCTAGGTGTACGCCCAGAGTTCAAGCCCCAGTACCGCAAAAACAAACAAAAACACAACGAAGTTGCAATCTTGAAAGGCCAATACAAACTTTTAAATAATTCTTTATAATTATATCACACATTCTAAATCCTGCTGGAGCAGGATCTAAATCCTGCCTTGTAACTAACCCCTCCTGACAACAGCAACTTCTCAGCTGCTTGTTCCCAACTCCATAGTTTTCTGGTGGGCTGACAACAACTACTGTACCTCTATTCACCTGGCTAGGGGTGCATGTACCCAGAGATTTGCAGGTGATCAAAGCCAGGTCAACAAGTTTTCTTCCTCCTCTATAAAAGTTATTTATATAGATCTGATAGGGAGAGACCTTTTTTCTTTGACCTTCTAAATGGAATTTAAATGTTTTTTGGAGGCTCTCCTGTCTATACTATATATTACACCCATTCATGCGGCCTGTCTTGCTTGCTGGAGGCACTGATGACTGGCCACAAAGACCATTTTTTGAGAGATTCATACCTAATTTTATTCTAGACACATGCAGAGATTTTTTTTTTTGACAGTACTGGGGTCTGAACTCTGAGCATGTTTGCTAGGCAAGCGCTATTACCACTTGAGTCACTCCACCAACTCTTTTTTGTGAGTGATTTTTTTGAGATGGAGTCTCACAAACTATTAGCCCTGGCTAGTCTCGAGCTGTGATCCTCCTGATCTCTGCCTCCCGAGTAGCTAGGATTTACAGGTGTGAGCCAACAGTGCTTGGCTCTGTGTGGAGTTTTCAAACAGTTAAAAATGTATTTAAAGGAATCTGAAATCCTTTGAAAGATAGAGTAACATGCAGCAAAAGAGAATCTCACTACCCTACCCCTTTTTTTAAACCACCAAGTCCATTTAGTTGCTATGGCATCTCCAGGTACCTAAAATACTTTACTCATTGATATCACCCAATATCTAGTGTTCTGATTTCCCAAACTGTCTTTAAAATTCTGTTAACCAAAATCTTTGGTTTGTTTGAATCAAGATCCATACAACGGAACAAAATTTTTTATCATTAAGCGCCCTGGCTGAATGCACTTTACCTCTCTTCAAAATAGGTACTTCCTTGTTACTGTAACACATTCCCATGAAGAAGAGAATTTAGAGATTAACTTAAAATCTCTTTATTTACTTTACAAATATCAGATGAGGTTCTGATAATGAGATTATGGAGCAAATAAACCGAAGTAATAGCTTGAAGTTAACTTCAGAGGTTAGAACACAAAAGAGCAGTGAAAAGGAACAACTTATGTTGATTTTTGTAGCTCTTGAGGTTTCCTTACTTTTAAAAATCTGTTTTCATTATTAGTAGAAAACAAAAAGAGACTCATCCTTTGGCTTATCAGTATCTAATAAAGTACTGAAAATTTAAAAGCCAATTGCATTAAGTAAATATACTTATTAACATCTGTAGCTTTATTTACAATGAACATCTTTATCTTACCCTATATATCCTCGTTTGTGCTCAATTGCAATGAAGAACTGAGAATATCATTCTTTCCAGGCATAAGTGAGTATATTGATTTTGCTTCAACTCAAATAGGAAATAATTAAAACATTATTATGGCCCCCACAACTTTCTTTTCCCAAAGAGGTGCCAGGGGTGAAGGGTTAGAGAGTTTTAGCCCTGCATAATCTCCACCCAGCTCATCAAATAAATGGATGTACTCACAAAATAGACCCTAACCATAACCATCGTCATTTATTTGTTTCATATGCCCAGGATCTCTATCTTAATGAACTACTGGGTCTAAAACCGTGTATGATTTATTATTATTTTTAATTTTTATTCTGTCTTTATCATTAAGGTCCTGAAAAGTAAAACTTATAAATAAATAAAAAATCCTTTTATATATTCCTTTTGCTCCGGGGCTCCAAAGGTGTAAGAATCAGTGCCTTTGCTCGGTCGAGTTTGCAGCACTCTCCTGCCCTGGTCTCCTGTTTTTCTAGCAGCACTGGGGCAAGTGCCCAGGTTCTGATCTGGGACTAAAACTCATGATCTCCTGGCTCAGGTTCTGCGGACTGAGTCATTCTGGCACAGAGTATATTCCGTGACTCAGCAGGCCCGAAAAGGAGGATGGCAGAATCCAGAAAATTTCGTCTTTTAAAGGCAAGCCGGGGAACACAAACAACACAGTGGAAGAATTTCGCAGTGGGTCTTCGTACCCAGGGGAAAAAATGTCATTCCATTCCCAGCCTTTCACTTCCTTCCTTGCCCGGGTTAAACGCTGGTTACACTTTAATTTAGTTGTAGGAAATCGCTTCACAAAGTTTATTCTGATGCTGCGACCAGGCCCTTAATAAAGGGATCATACTAGCCGCCCCTCCCACCCCGGACAGCCAGATCGCTCTTGGAAGGGGTTAGCCAGGGGCCCCGCGCAGCTGGGGGGACACTGGGAAGGGTTAGGTCACGCAGGCAGCCCTGCGATGGGGTCTCCACGGGTTCTGGCCCCAGCGCGGTGTCCCTGCAGAATGTAAGGACTGACACCTGGCAGGGCGGGGCCTCGACCAAATTGGCCTGAGGATCAAAGGCCGACCCCGAACGACCTCACCGATCTGCAGAGCCCCTCTAAGGCCTCCTCTATGCCCTCTCCCCAAAACCAGAGTCTCCTGGGGTTCCTGATGTGCCACCCGTTTAGGGTGCCGGGTGTCCGCAGGCTCCCCTTCCCTCCCGGCATGCACCGCCCCGCGCCCCTCCCTCCCGCCCGCCCCCTCCTCCTGTTCCCCCTCCTCCCCGCTCCCGCCCACCCTTGCGCCCCTCCCGCCGTGCGCGCGCCGCGGGCCCGAGCGCGAGACGCCGGGGCGGACGCGCAGCCTGGGGCGTGCGGAAGGTGGGGGGAGCAGCTCCGGGGGCCTCGGGAGAGGCTGAGAGGAGGCCGCGGGCTGGGCTTGCTTCTCCGCCAGACCCCACCCCGCCGACCCCACCCCCTGCTCCTTCCTCCCCGGGGCGCGCTCTCGGGTGCGCGCTCGGAAGTCGGGGGTCTGCGCCGAGTGCGGGCAGTGCGCAGGGTGGGCAAGGGAGGAGCGGGGGCAGGCGGTCCGCCAGCCGCACGGTCCTCGCCAAGGGCGCCCACTGGCCCGTCTCTCCCGCTCAGACGCCGCCACCGCCACCGCCCGCGCCACGGTCCGGCCCGTGGCCCCCAGGCTCTGCCCGCGCCTTAGCCTCGGAGGGACGCCGCTAGGAGACAGGAACGCGCCGGAGCCCTTGCCTTCGCCGTGGCTCAGCGCGCGATGACGGGCAGCGGGCGGGCCGCGCTGGCCCTGCGGCCCCGGGGTCGCCTCTGGCCGGTGCTGGCAGTGCTTGCGGCCGCCGCGGCGGGTTGCGCCCGGGCAGCCATGGACGAGTGTGTGGACGAGGGCGGGCGGCCGCAGCGCTGCATGCCTGAGTTCGTCAACGCCGCCTTCAACGTGACGGTGGTGGCCACCAACACGTGTGGGACTCCGCCCGAGGAGTACTGTGTGCAGACCGGGGTGACTGGGGTGACCAAGTCCTGTCACCTGTGCGACGCCGGACAGCCCCACCTGCAGCATGGGGCGACCTTCCTGACCGACTACAACAACCAAGCCGACACCACCTGGTGGCAAAGCCAGACCATGCTGGCCGGGGTGCAGTACCCCAGCTCCATCAACCTCACGCTGCACCTGGGTAAGCGGTGACAGCCCTGTCCCCTACTACTGCTCGGCCACAGTCCAGCTCTGGGCTGTCTGTACCCGCGGTCCAGCGTGAGGGGCCCGCACATGCTCTCTGGCATGGGCCACTCAGAAATTCCTTTCTTCAACTTCTAACCCTGATCTAGCTCTTCACATCCGGCGGAGGCCAAGATGCCCCACGCTGGCATCTCTGCTGTCCTTTCTTTCTAACTTGCCGGATCCTTGCTTCCTTGATTACTTGCCATTTTGGCTGTTAGGATTTTGGTCTCTCTCTCTCTCTTTTTTTCCCCTGAAGAAACACCCATCCTTGCTTTTTTTTTTTGCTTAGGGCATCACAACTCATGCTTGAATGGGGACCAGAAGGTCCACTTTTAACACTTTGCCTTTCAAGTGTTAAGCTCGCGCTCACTCTCTCTCTCTCTCCAGGATTGGGGATGACTGCTGTAAAGAAAATTTGAGGGGAGCAAATGGCTTTACTGCCCATATTGCCTAGGTGTACTTAAAATAGAAATTCACTGTTATAGTTATTGTTCTTTAGAGCTTTTCAGTGTTAATTAAGAGCCACAAAGCTATTTATTTCACTGCTAATCCTGGCACAGAGAAAGCAAAAGGAAGTGTCTGTTCTCACTGTAATTGCTGAACACAGTTTTGTCCCTTTGTAAAAGTGGCAGTCCTTACTGCCTTCCCGTTTGCTTTGATTGGAAGCAAGTGTAGAAACGCACATTAAATGTCCCTTTAGAAATCAGGAAAGGGATGTATAAGAAACTGAATGGTAGGACTGTGGTTGAGAAAGAACATGTTTGATCTTGATAAGTTTTTCTTCGTCATTTAGATGTAGAAACAAAATGTCCTTGTGTTTAGCAGAGTAATATGTGAGAAACGGACATTTGATTTGTAGGGATTTAATCCCCATTGCATTGGAAGATTTGGATTTACCCGTGACTGGGACTAATGAACTTCCAGAGAGAAGACTGCCCCGAGCCATTCTTCTGTTAAAGCGTGGTAATTCTATAGAGCAAATAACATTATTTGAGGATGTTTGAAAGGGGCATTTTGTAGGCTAATGGCTCTTTTGATCATGATTCTGCATTTTTCTTTCCACGGCTTTCTAGCACATTGAACTTTATATAAGTACAGATTCCAGGCAAAGAGTGTAACTTACAAAAAGGGCTTTGAGAAGTATAATCGACTTGTTGTGTGTAAAATAAGTTTTAGAAAAACAGTATTTAGCACCTTTGTAGTAAATGCCATTTTATTTGTAGACAAGTTATTAGGCAGATGAAACTTTTTGAAAATATGTTTATAAAATGAAATTATGAGGCACCTGCTTTTGGGCAATTGAAATACACTGTATTGAGTTCAGTTTTTAAAAGGTGTTGCAAATGTATAGAAGTAGTGTCTTGGGGCAAGTGCCTTTCTGAGACTCAAGGGTTCCCAAGATCTTGTGGGAATGTTTTCTCCTAAGTGTTACATTTTTTAAAGTTGGCCAAAAATTATTTTTGATTTACATCAATTATTTTTGTTTAAATTTGGACTTGTTAAAGTTTCTGTATTCAATTCTGAATACCCTCAAAGTCTTATTTCACCTATTTCCAAATTTAAAAACTTCAAAGAAGAGACATTGCCTTGATGTCTCCAAGTGCCTGAGATTCAGTTGAAAAGCTCTGAACAATAGGCTGTCAATCTTTCCTAGTTCTTTCTCTTAGGCAGAAGGTAGCTAAGGTTTATTTCAGGTGGTTGCAAAGGTAGATAGATTGCTCTGGCTAAAGCAAAGGCAATGTCATAGGGTAAGAGTATCAAGTAAGGTAGGTTGCAACTACTGGGAGGTAGTAGAGTAACTGTGGGTCATGGTGAAAAGGTCAAAAGAGATCTTAGAGTTGATTTATTTAGGATTCTAACGCTAACTTTTTTTTTAACTCTAAAAAGGTTATATATTTGGACTTGTTTTTGCTGAAAAATTCTTCAGTATTTGGTAACATGTTTGCTAAGTTATGTTCATAAAAGTATGGGTTTAAAACTGGTAAGAAAAAGTTACTTAAAATATTTTTATACATGTGTTGTCATTAATTGTAAAAACACATACTTTAGACATTTTAGCTGGACAGTTTATAAGAACCTGACTAGAACTTACTGTACTTGTTCTTGGATCAGAAATGATGTGCTGGAAGAAATGGCGCAGTGGGGTAGGAAGTGGGGCTGTATGTAGTGGGTTTGATGTTTTTCTTCCCCCCTTCTTTTTTTTGGGTGATGTGGGATTTGAACTCAGGGCCTCATGCTTGCTAGGCAGCTGCTCTTACCGCTTGAGCCACTCTACCAGCCTGCCCTCCCTCCCTCCTTTTCTTCTTAATGACAAGAGTAGATGTATGCATGAATGTTATTAATGATTATGGTAAGTAAGCAGGGCTTTATATATTTTGATATTCAGCAAATTCACTCCCCGTCTCCAGTTACTCCGCAGACCGAAGCTAACTAATTATTTCCCATGAATTCAAGTACCATGACTGTTTGTGCATCCATTAAATCTCCCACCCAGTTCAAATTTCACATACCCTTAAACAAGTGATGCATATTGTGCTTTGCCCTTACAGAGCATGTAAAATTCACAGCGAGCAGTGTGAAAGAATACGTGTAGCCACCACTTTCCTAGTCTTCCTTTTGATGTTGAACTTTTAATATGGTAAACCTTAAAACAAGCCAAGTCAGTGAAACATACATGTTTTTGGCACTGATCATAAGTCACCTTTTTATTATAAGAATGAAACTTGACATGGTAATTCAAACAATAAATATAATGAATGACAAGTGAGTCTGCCTATAGTTGCTAAGAGACTATTAGTCACAATTTCTTATGTAACCCTTCTGAAATGTTCACGTATCAAATACCTTTTTTTTTTTTGGGTAGGGGGAGGCTGAGACATTTTTTAATATACGGCAGGTACAAATTAGATAGATCATTGTACCCAGTATTGTCACTTGTTACAAAAGCCAGGAAAGTCAGCAATGATTCTAAAAACTGCCATCTCTTCAGCTCAATATACAGGGTCAGTGCAGCTTGGATATAAAGAGTTAGTTACTTTGGGAACCAAAACTGCACTTTGTGCCTGTTGTGGAGAGAATGCTCAGCTGGGCATTTCTTTTCTAATTAAGTCTTATTTTGCTTTCAAATTTTGGATCTCTCCTAACTTCTGTATAGATTATTAAATTGCTATTTAAAAGTTTGGCATTTATGTCTCATAAATAATAAAATTTATCAGTATCTAGAAGGTAGTTGATAGGAATACTGTAGCTGAGGATTTGCCTTTTATTAAACAGCCTCTTAATTAATTTGATAATCATTGTGAATGGAAACTTGGCAGACAGTGTTGCCTTGATTTTGGAGAAAGGCAATTTTTCTTTCCTAAAACGATTAGTAAGGTTAAGGAAAAAAGTGCTTACACAAACAACTCAATCAGTTTATGGAACTCTCCAGATTAACATTGGAACCCATTAGTTACCAAGCTCCTAATAAATTTAGGAATGGATAGTGATTAAATGAAACTCTTTAATCCACTTGTGAATAACGTTTTCCTTTTCTGAAATCAGAATAATTGATACATAAGGCAATGTGTTTTATTGTTTGGGCCTCTGATGAGTATGTATTTAACATGTAACAAACTGCGTTTTTTTCCCCCAGGACAATCTTTGCAAGGTAGGCTCTGACTGTGTCAGGGAATAGCTCACACTGGTGACTTCACTGTGGTATTTGTGTACCCCCTGAGGGGACAGTATTTTGGTTTGTCTCACAAAGGCCTGATTTACATTTTGCAGGTTTCAACTTGAGAAGTTAAGGAGCTGTTCTTTAATGGCCAGTATTTGTTGAGCGGTTTTTTTTTTTTTTTTTTTTAATAAAAGTTGCTGTTGGCTGTTTCCCTGTCCCATATAGTTCAGTGCTTTTTCTGTAAATTCCTTCTCCATTTTTCTAAGGCACTCAGGAAAAAAAAAAGTATAAATATATGTATATATATATATATTTTTTATATATATATATACATATATATAAAAGTATATATATACTTTTATATATATGTATATATACTTTTATATATATATATATATATATATATATATATATATATATATATATATGTAAGAAGTTGGAGCTATAAGGCATTCTTCTCCCCCATCAGTTTATCATTGGTCATATTTGTGGAAGGAACAAAACTGTTATTTCAATTTTAAATCCTTTTAGGAAGTTGGGTGTGTCTTTTGCCATACACTCTTCACCCTGTGTATACAGCCTCATATTACTGCCAGATATTCTGCAAACATTTTAAAAATACCTATGAAATACATACAACTGTGCCTGATAGAAAGGTGTAGAAGATTGAAGGTACTATCTTCAGGAGCTTGTACTCTGGAATTTACACAGCTATAATGCTGTTATAATAATAAATCAAGGATGTATTTATAATGTTTTGTAATTCATAAAGCCTCTAGTTTATTAGTGATTAGATTTTTCATAATTCAGTGAAGGCAAGGGTGAGGATCTTATGGTTGTGATTTGTAAAAAGTCCTGGTGAACTTAGATCTTGGACTCCTTAGTTGAGTACACTAGCCCCTATAGCTCATAGCTTCTCCAGAAAATTGCTTAAAGAATGTCTAGTTTATTTCAGGGTAACTTTAAAAGTTCTTGTACCCATTAATTCAGAGATATCAGATGCCTTTGGTTGTATTACTTGATTTTCTTCAGTTTGTTGGCCTCTCCCCCCTTTTTTTCCTATGTAGCCTAGGCTGGCCTGGAACTCTTGGTCTTTCTGTCTCAGCCTCCTGAGTGCTGGGATTTCAGGCATTTACCACCATGCTTGGCTGGTCTGTTCCTTTTTACGTACATTCCTGGATTCCTCTGTTTTGATGCTACTCACTGTTCTAGAATGAGCAAACACATCTTAACCTCAAGGGTTCCATTTACTGTTTGCAAATTTGTAGATTCCAAATTGTTTTTGTAGGTTAGCTCTT